GGCTTCACAGGCACAGGACAGTGGCCACCACTAAAGATGCTTCTTTACTTTCTCATTTCAATATAATTAAACGAAAATAAACATCACTCGCAGACCAGTTTGGGGTTCCAAGAACATTTCCTGTATCACTCACTGAGGCTTATCACAACCATCACAGAAAGTATCGTAATAAACAGGAGCACAAAAAACAGTAATGGGCGGATGCTTAATGCACTGACATGCTCGGAGGTGCACTGCAAACGTTTATGGGGTAATAATAGACAGTGATCATATTTTCGACTAAGGGGCGTAAACACGAAGCCAAAGATAGGCAATACAAGCAAGGTGGAATGTACCAGACCAAGAGTGGGAAGAGTCCGAATAGGTACGGTGAGGTTTAGAAGGGCCAAAGTGGCATGTGCATCGCCCAGGTTGGCAGGAAAAAAAATAATATGAGAATCAACAAATGCAGATCGTCGTAAAGTTTATTCAAGAAAAACATAAAAAGACGACATAAAAGAGCCTGCTACACGATTTCATTCGACACTCGTTGAGTCAAGACCTCGATTCAACCTGTGACAGCCAAAGGAAAAATAAACACTCTTAGGATATGAATGCGCTCATATACCAACGTTAACAGAACGGCACAAGATAACAGACTAACTTCAAGCTATCGAAAAACATAATAGCTAATAATAGTGGTAAATACAATTATTCAGGCTTACGATATGACGACGGGCCTTTACGTTCGTAACTTCTTTCACGGAAATGCGGTGGTGGGCGGCTGTCATAGTCGCGAGGTATGTAGCCAGGTGGTGGTGGGGGAGGGGCATCATAATAAGGAGCAGACCAACGGTCAGAGCCAGAGGGGTAGGGTGCAGCATTGGCCTGATCCCAGAAATTGGCGTCATAGTCGTTCCTGGGACCGCGTATGGGTGAAGCCTAACAAGTGTTAAGGGCAAATTGATACGCGTTTACCTCAAGTGTTTCCATAATGCCTCCGACACAGCTAGCTACGCCTTCCGGTTCCCCAATGAGCTGGACTACACGATCCGTCGAGCAAGGAGCCAGTTCCTGATAGATCTTGATCAGGTGCATATTGTTATCCTATGGAAATGGTCATGAAATCGACAACTCACATTCTTGAGCTCTTTTATTCTGTCTCCCTTCTTACCAATGACAGAACCCACTTGACTCTGGTGAATAAGAATTCGGAGGTCGATTAGTTTCTCCGGATCAACGTGCTGTTCTTGTCCATCTTCATCTCGACCATTGAAAAGACGCTGGTCCGAATCCTTCGCACTCAAAACGTCCTGTATACAATCGGTCAAACAAACAAGTTATTGCAAATTACCATGAACTGTGGTGCCAGGTCTTTCAAACACCCACATATCGAGGAAATTTCTCCTTCCAAATAAAATACGCTGAAAGGAATAAAAGAA